GGCTAGGGCCACCCACACGCCCCCCAAACGCACTCACCCCCAGGCGAGTTATCTGCTTGGACCCCCACCCCCACCCATACACACACACATAAAGAAGCATCATAACCATCTGGGCATAAGACGCAGTCCCTTCCACACAATTACACAAGCGCTGCTGCAGTCCCTCTCCGTGTTTGAGGACAAAACTCTTTTTTTTTTTTGAGACAGAGTCTCGCTTTTGTTGCCCAGACTGGAGTGCAGTGTCTCGATCTCGGCTCACTGCAACCTCCGCCTCCCAGATTCAAGCCATTCTCCTGCCTCAGCCTCCTAAGTAGCTGGGACTACAGGCGCCCAGCTAATTTTTGTGCTTTTAGTAGAGATGGGGTTTTGCCATGTTGGCCAGGCTGGTCTCGAACTCCTGACCTCAGGTGATCCACCTGCCTTGGCCTCCCAAAGTGCTGGGATTACAGGTGTGGGCCACTGCACCCGGCCTGAGGATACAACTCTTTGGAGATTTCGGATATGTGAGCTACAGGAAGCTCTGGCACTCAGAAGCCCGAAAACACACACATACACACACATACATACACACACACACATACATACACACACACACACACACACACACACACACACATATACACACATGGCTACACCTTTTTCCAGTCTCTGTGTCAGGATGTCAGTCTCTGTCTGAGTGCACCAAGGTGACCTCCATCACTGCACAAGGGCAGAAGACTCCTCCCTGTGAAAGCGAGCAAGTGAGAGTTGGGGGCTGGCTGCCTTTAGATCTGCTGACGTCTCCTTACTCCTGGAAACTACACGTTACATAACATCACACACAATAAAACACAGCCAGGTCCCATGTTACCTATGACTTGTATATAGCCCTGTGAGCTGCTCTGCAGTGGCATAATGTTAGGTTTTTGTAAGCATTTAATTAATCATCTGTGACTTGGATTTCTTCATGTGAGTTCTGGTTGTACTTGAAGTCATTGAAAATCTTCAGCAGAACCCTCAAAAGCCTTTAGGCCTTGGGTCTTGGGTTTATGGTGGGTGATGGATAACAGGGCCCTAGTGAAAGGGGTGGTGGGCATGGGGTTAGGGGAATGTTGCCACTGAGAGCCCAACTCCACTTTGGTGGCAGCAAGCATGGATAAACCAGGGGCTCTGGGCAAGAGACCCTCTGAGGACCCAACTTGATTGCCATCATTTACCATCTCTTGGAGCCAGAGAGAAATCAAAGTGAGCTGTAGGCCCAACAACTCCTACACTGAGATACAGACTCTTACCTACACGATATTGACCCAAAGGCCATACCTGGACACCGTGTGCAGGCACCAACACACAAATACACACAGGCCCCAGCGTACACACTCTGACATGCCCATCCTCAATGTCTGGACATGTACTCCAACTAATACGCATTGCCTCAACACCTAGGCATACACCTGACACACTCCCCAACAGACCAGCTCACCCCACACCTCCCAACACAGAGATCCACACAGATGGCACAGAGGTACCCCTTGGGCAAAGCTGTGGATGAACACCCACTTCGTCACTTGCGTCCACACAGAGACATTCCAGGCACATAATTACAGATACCCACATTTGAACACTCTCCCTCCCCTTCTCCTCATACCCACCCACACATGCTCCCTGCCCTGTCATGGGGAGACAGAGCATCCCAGCCCCACAGAGCCCAAGGGTCCTGATTAACAGGAAATTCTACGAATGCCAATTAGAGCCAAGTTTACTGAACAAATTGTTTGCAGTTGTGCCCTGGAACCATCATGAATTTTAATCTTGCATTGATTTGCACTGATGTAAGGTTTGCAGATGGCAGGGCCTTTGGTGCCTCCTGCCCCTCCCACCCTTTTGGGAGGAGTCATCACCCAGCCTCAGGTGCAGGAGCCCTAGGAGCAGCCTTCAGCCTCTACCAGTCCAGAGGCCAGCATCACCAGCCCAGTTGGGAGAGACCCACGATGCCCAGAAGATGGCCAAGAGTTTGGAAACATACATGTTGTGGATGAATAAGACTTTATGTTTTCCTTCTTTTTTTCTTTCTTTTTTCTCTTGAGATGGAGTCTCACTCTGTGGCTCAGGCTAGAGTGCAGTGGCGTGATCTTGGCTCACTGCAACCTCTGCCTCCTGGTTCAAGAAATTCTCCTGCCTCAACCTCCCAAGTAGCTGGGATTGCAGGCACACACCACCACCACGTTCAGCTAATTTTTGTATTTTTAGTAGAGATGGGGGATTTACCATGTTGGCCAGGCTGGTCTCGAACTCCTGACCTCAAGTGATCCACCCGCCTCAGCCTCCCAAAGTGCTGGGATTACAGGCGTGAGCCACCACACCTGGCCAGACCCTACATTTTCAAGAACACCAGTAATCTAGGGAAGGGGTTGGGGGCCTTGAGTTTCTTGGTTTGGATGCAAAAGCAAGGTCACAATATGGCAGAGATACAGAGTGGGGTGCAGATGTTGTAATAGTTCTACTACTGCATCAACTAAGATAACTGCCAGTAGGTATATAGCCGCAGTCCAAAGGACTCTTCTAAAATTAATTTGTCTTCCTCTCTCTTCCATCAAACCCTTTTCTCAAACCCCTCTGTAATTTCCTGTTACTTAAAAAAAGAAATCCGACCAGCCGCGGTGGCTCACACCTGTAATCCCAGCACTTTGGGAGGCTGAGGTGGGCGGATCACCAGAGGTCAGGAGTTCAAGACCAGCCTAGTCAACATGGCAAAACTTCGTCTCTACTAAAAATACAAAAATTAGCCAGTCGCGGTAGTGCATGCCTATAATCCCAGCTACTCAGGAGGCCGATGCAGGAGAATCGCTTCAGCATGGGAGGCGGAGGTTGCAGTGAGCTGAAATCATGCCACTGCACTCCAGCCTGGGCCACAGAATGAGACTCCGTCTAAAAAATAAATTAATAAAATAAATTTTAAAAACCTTGCCTGATCTTCACCCCAACCCCCAATCATCTCACCCATCCCTCTTCATCTCACTCTTGCCCCTCTTATCCAGCCCCTGGTAGGAGCCGTGCTTCCTTCAAGCCTCAGGGCTCTTGCACATTCTATTCCTGTCTGGAAGAGTTTACCTAGTTAACGCCTAGTCATCCTTCAGGCCTCAGTTCAAGTGTTACCTCCTTAGGGAAGCTGTTTTGACCCTCCACCTAGATCAACACTCCCTGCCATGAAATGCTCTCTTAGTCCTCTCGTCATTAGAGAATCAACTCCATGAGGGCAGGAACTGTATCTGGCTTTGTTCACCACTGTAACCCCAGTACTTAGCATAGGGCCCAGCATTAGTAGGTGCTCTGTATTAATTAGCTTTTGCCACAATAATGCCATATTAACAACCCACCCCAAAAGTCAGGGTCATACAACAAGCAGTATTGTTTCCTGCAGCTTGACTGGGTTTTGGTTGATCTAGACTTGGCTTAGCTGGGCTTGGTTCTAACCTGTGAATTGGGTGCAAACCTGCCCCCCCACATCTCTCATCCTTGTTGAATGAGCAGCTACCTGAGGCATGTTCTACAAAAGACGGGAATGCAAAAGAGCATGCCCAACTATGCAAGCTCCCCCTTGGCCAGAGAAAGTGCTGGTGCTCTGCCAAGGGCATGGAAGCGGTGGAAGCGTTGAAGAATTAGGACCAGTTGAATCTATCATGTGCCCAAGAAATATTCGTGGTGTGGAATTTAATACTTGCTCTGTGCTAGGCATTGTACTAAACACTTTACATGCATTAATTCATTTAATCCTCAAGTCAACCCTGTAAGTATTAACCCAATTTTTAGAAAGTAGTTTAATTGAAAAAATAAAATCTCCACAAAGTAAACAACTCAAATACTACCAGCTACACTCAATGAAGAGTAACTCTTTTTCCTATGCCACCCCCAGCCCTACTTCACGAAGAAGCAGTGTTTCAGTTGTTCTGTGGACTTTCTGATATGCATATACAAGTCCCCCCCACATATAGTGACATTCCTTTTTAATCATTTGGTTTGGTTCATACTATATAAAACGGTTCTGCATCTTGGTCTCATTTTGTTTTCAAAGAATAATATATATTGATGCTCCTTCCTTGTCAATCAAATTTATCTACATTATTTTTCACTTATTTCCATTTTACAGATGAGGAAACTGAGGCTTAGAGAAGTTAACAAACCTATACCAGGTATTACAGCTCGAAAGAGGCAGGGCTGGGATTGAAGTTTAAGTCTGCCTGACTTCAGAGCCTGTGTTCATAGCCACTCTGTTCTACTGGCATGGCTCAGGGACCCACAGGGTCCCCAGCGTGGGCAGAGTAGACCTAGACAAAAACCTCTGAGCTCCAGCTGGGGGTTCCCTCTGGGATGGGGGATAGCGTGGGAGCTCTCATGGTACTGGATCTACCCAGGGTCAGCTGGAGCCACCACCAGCACCGGGAAGTGCCTTGGCCCCAGCCTTTGCTCTCAGACCCCGAGTCAGAGTTGGGCCGTGTCTCACCCTTCAGGCAAGTGGCTAAGGGCATGGGTGGGCTCTGCAGGCAGATAGGACTGGGTTTAAGACTACCCACCTTTCCTGGTGTTCTAGCTCCAAGTGCTAGCTCTAGTGATATGAATGAATAAGTGATAATGAATCAATGATATCAGCTCTACAGTATCTTAGAGGGCTGGATGTTTTGGAATTTCTTATTTTTAAAAAGATATATTAACCAGGCACAGTGGCTCACACTTGTAATCCCACCACTTTGGGAGGACGAGGAGGGCAGATCACAAGGTCAGGAGGTCGAGAACAGCCTAGCCAACACAGTGTAACCCTGTCCCTACTAAAAATACAAAAATTAGCCTGGAATGGTGGCATGCACCTGTAGTCCCAGCTACTTGGGAAGCTGAAGCAGGAGAATCGCTTGAACCCAGGAGGCGGAGGTTGTGGTGAGCCGAGATGGCGGCGCCACTTCTCTCCAGCCTGGGCAACAGAGTGAGGCTCCATCTCAAAAAAAAAAGAAAAAAAACATATATATATATAGTAGCAATAACTCACCCAATGTGACAAGCCTCACCTTCCCCTCTACTCCCTTGTGGAAGAGGAAAATGTCTTAGGCAGGAAATGTCATCCCTAGCTTAGGCAGCCCTCATCCCTAGCTGTCTCTAACTTACTTTATGCCTTTGGGCAAGCCCCTAATTGTGAAAGGGAGTCATAATTCAGAAAAAAGCAGGGAGGGCCTACTAAAACTGCAACCATGTGGCTGGAGTGTCTGGTGTGGACGCTGACTCACAGTCATGGTCAGGGTGCTCTGATCCTTGTGCCTGGACTGGGACTCACGAGGAACCCACAGGAACAAGCCAGAATTCAGCCTCCTTCCGTGGAGCTGGCGCCTGTGCGATGGGGGAAGGTGCAGTGTGGTGCTCATTGCCTGCCTCCGCCTCTTACTAACTCTGGGGCCTGGGGCTCTGCTAATAATAGTTACAATCTATTGTACTCTTAATATGTTCCAGATGTAGGCAGCCCTGCCTTGTTTAATTCTCCTGACAATGCTATGGAGTAGAAATTATCTCCAATTTACACAAAGAAACTGAGTCTCAAAGAGGCTTAAGTGACTTCCTCAAGGCCAGGAGGAGGGGAAGCAAAATACTTTGAGTCTCAGTTTCCCCATCCATAAAGTAGGTACAGTAATACCCATCTCTCACAGCTGTGGGGGGATTCACTGGCCAAATGTAAGCAAATTAAACTGGCATAGCCACAGACACATAGTAGGTGCTCAAAGGAACTCCCTTCCCGCTATTCTTGGAGAGGGTGATTGTGTTAGGACAATACATTGGAATCATCTGGGGAGCTTCAGAGAGGACTGATGCGGGGTCCTAGCCTCAGAGGCCCTAATTTAAGTGGTATGGGTGCAGCCTAGGCATCAGCATTCTTAAAACTCACTGAGTGATTCTAACGCTTAACCAACATTGAGAATCCCTCTATTCTAGACCCTGAGTGAGTGGAGAATAGAAATTACATGAGGCTCTCTACTCTGTTACCTCCTGAAATAGCCTGCTCACTGGTCTTGTGACTTCTACTCCCATCCCCCTCCTGAATCCATTCTTCGTTCAAAAGCCAGGGGGATCAGGATAAACTCAAATTAAATCATTCCCCTTCAGAAACCCTATTGCCAGCATCTGTATCCCCTTCTCATCTTCAGCTCCATGGCTGTGCCAGGCACTGTGCCAAGCACTTTATACACATCCTCTCAGTTCATCCTTACAGCATCCCCAAGTCATCATAATCATTATTCTTGAACAGACGAGGAAACTGAGGGTCAAAGTGGTTATGTCATTTGCTCAAGGTCACCATGTTTGTCTGATCTCAGAGGCCAGTTCTTAACCATAATGCCGTATTTAGTTCCCAAAAGGCTGCCGCCTAGAACCATCGAAATCCCTAATCCCAAAAGGGCAGCCTCAAATAAGGCGGTGTCTGGCACACCTTCTTCTCAAGAAAATAATGGCAATGCAGTTGAGCCCTTCTGTCACTTTGATAGTAGCCCTTTCCCTTCACGCTTAGTAAAGGTGCTGCAATTACTATGGCCAGCTCTGGCAAGAGGAAATTTCAAGGAAAACAGAATCATAGGATGTCAGGCTGGCAAAGGCCTTAATGCCATACCTCCTAGCTCACAGGTGAAAAAAAAAAAAGAGGTCCACAGAGTCTTCCCGCTTCCCACACCCACCTCAGAGCAACCATCTAAATTTGCAATTTGAGTTCTCTTGATATTTCTGCCCATGTTCTCATGCCTCAGCTGAGTCCTTTGCAACCGGCCTAGTTGCTGCTTTGGTAGATTTCCATTTTGAATTTCAGCTCTCCTACCCGCAAGCCCCTGGGAACCTCCTGCTTCCTCTCATTTCTTGTGTCTTTAAAGAAACTCTCCTTGCTTGAGCTCCCTCCCATTGGATTTTGTCCTTTGGAGCTGGGTCTGTTTCCCTCCCTTCCTCTCTTCCTTCCTCTCTTCTTCTGTCTCCCTCCTCCCAGCAAGGCATCTCGCTCTTCCTTATTCAGCAGGAGCCATGGGAAGCCTCCAGCCCCAAGTGCCCCCAGCCCAGCGGTGGCCACATGCCTGCCCTCCCTGGTCGGGGCGAGGAATGTGGGGGGCCTTTGGCTGCACTGCAGTGCCTCTAACTGCAGCTTCTCCCCCTCTCAGGGTTGCTGGAAGATTATTAGATAATTTTCAAATTTGTAAAGCGCCTTAAGCTCCTCAGAGGAAAGGTGGTATATGAGTGTAATAACAATAACAATCCTATCTGTCAGAGCCATTGAGAAAATGAATCTTGTTATCCTCAGGAACCAGCCGGAGGAACTTCAGCAAGAAACATGAAAATAAAGCACAGAGCACGGCCTTCTGCCCAATCAGCAGAGGGGAAAGTGCCAACCAAGGGTGGAGGTAGCATTCCAGCCCCGCTCCCCGCCAGCCCAGTGCTGGTGCAAAGGGGCTCTCAGAAAGTCACCTAAATTGCCTCTGACGCTTCACCAATTAAAATGACTTTAGGACAAGTTGAAATCAACTTAGGGAGTGAAGCATTCTGATTTCTGAGACTCTCCCAAGGCAGTGGGGAGGGCAAGTGTCTGAGCAGGTTGTCACTCACTCAGGAGTAATGATGGGAAAATCCATCCCGGTAACGTGATTGAGTTTGGTGAATTAGTAAGGCTGTTTACACTGTGTGCTGCAAGTCAGAGTGGGGCTGGCGGGGGGGTTTGACACGTGTGGCAGCTTCACTCCTAATGAGGTCCTCAGACTCAGCACTCAGCCCGCTGGACTCACGGTGGCTGACTTCAAGTAGGAGTCAGGCTCTGTCTCACCCTCAGGCGAGTGACTAAGGGCATGGGTGGGCTCTGCAGGCAGATAGGACTGGGTTTAAGTTCTGGCTTTGGTCACCACCAGCTCTGTGACCTTGGGCAAAGCTCTGTGCTTCTCCAAGCCTCAGTTTCCCCATGTATAAAATCTGCATTATGATAGCACAATTCATACATAATGCTGTCTGTCATAATGGGAAACATGAGATGAGCTATCTTTTTATTTTTTGTTCACCTCCCCAGGCCAGCATGGCCACGGAGATCAAGGAAAGCCAGGTTTATCTCTTCTCCCCTGGAGTATCCGTTCCCCTAAGAGCCAAGAAGAGACAAGGAAGGTGGGGACCTGTGGAAAACATAACCCCAGTTCAAGCCCTGATGATGCTTCGGCCTGGCTGTGTGATCTCAAACAAGCCACTTAATCTCTCTGAGCCTTGGTTTCCTCATCTGTAAAATGGGGTGAGCATGCAGCTTCTCCGTGGATATCTGAACAGAACTTCTAAAAGTTCTGAGCAGCCGCGGGGCGCGGTGGCTCACGCCTGTAATCCCAGCACTGTGGGAGGCCGAGGCGGGTGGATCACGAGGTCAAGAGATCGAGACCATCCTGGTCAACATGGTGAAACCCCATCTCTACTAAAAAGACAAAACATTAGCTGGGCATGGTGGCGCGTGCCTGTAATCCCAGCTACTCAGGAGGCTGAGGCAGGAGAATTGCCTGAACCCAGGAGGCGGAGGTTGCGGTGAGCCGAGATCACGCCATTGCACTCCAGCCTGGGTAACAAGAGTGAAACTCCGTCTCAAAAAAAAAAAAAAGTTCTGAGCAGCCATTTGTTGGTATGCAAGAAGATGAGTGGCCTCTGGGAGAAAGTTAAGGGAGGGAGAATGAGAACAGGTTGCTCTTCCTGGTGACCATGGCTCCCTGATGGGGGAGGAGGATTTAAGGACTGACAGGTAGATTGTAAAGCCTGAGGTAGAGGCAACAGTGGGAGAGACCCCTGGAATTTATCAACTAGGCTTGCTGGGAACTCACCAGAGGAAATGACAGAGGATTGCAGCATGAAAGACTGAAGTTAGACTGGCAACGGACTCCCAGGAAGGAAGGCACAGCCTGACTGTGCTGGAAGGAAGGCTGAAGGATGGTCAGGGAGCCCCAGAAGATGCTTCCACAGGGCCAGAGAAGGAGGCAGTGAAGGCACAGCCGTTCCTCCCCCAGGCTGTCTTTGAGCCTCATCCTCTGGAGGCCTTGTCGGAACCTACAGTGACCCTGAAGGGAAGTCACTGGGCCTGCTCCAGAGCAGGGCCATGTCCTCGCAGACATGCCCAGGTCAGCACTGGGTCACAGCTCTATTATTTAAGTGTTTCATAAAAGAGCAAACCTCCGGGGTTGGAAGAATGGCCGGGATCCTGACTCTTCCTGCACAGGAAATGGAGCAGCTGTGTCCAAGCCCTGGCTTGAGCTGCAGAGGACTCACCAGCCCTGGCAGAAGTTTCCTAGCTTGAGAGGGCCCTGCTGTGGCTGAGATGATGACACCTGGGCCCAGACTGGGTTCCTCCCTCCACATGGAGCCAGGACCCCACCGGTCCCTACACCCACTACTTGTGGACTCTGCAGCGATTTTATTGTAATTTCCTCGTTGTTGCAGTTAATAGCATTAGTTTGTTAATTACTGTATATTTTAAAAGTAAGATGAAAGGGAATTCCCTCTGGAGGCTTGTTCTTGGCTGAAACAATGTGATGTGAGGGAAGAGAGAGTGTTCACAGGGTAATGAGCTTGCCCTGCTGCTTCCTGTTCCCTTGACAGTGCCTGGGGCCAGAGATGGAGCTGCCAAGGTGGGAGGCAGGGCCTCCCCACCCTCCACCGCAGAGCCCAAGCCCCTCCCTGGAGGGAGTCCTCTGCAAGACCACACTTCTCAGCCCCAAACCTCTGCCCTGGTCTCCTACTCCCAGCCCTGCACTATTGTCAGAGGGAGGCTTCCAGCCTCAAGGGAGGAGGGGTCTGCCTGAGGAGCCCTGGGACTGAGGGAACCAGACCAGAGTGAAATAAGAAACCTGGCCTGTGACAAGGAGCGATTGATCGAGTAGGACGGAATTTTTATTAGGAAACAGCTGGAATTTGGGGAGAGGCTCCTACATTTAAATTCAACCTGAGACTACAGCCCTAGAGGGGAAATAGGAGTGGGGGGCAGGCACACTTGTTGGCAGAGGCAGGAGCAGCAACTTGGGGTCCTGCAAAGAGATCTGGCTGAGGGGGACAAGCAGGGCCTGCCATTGAGCCCTGACGCTGCTGGCAGGACTGAGGGATGGGCCAGCTCGGAGGAAGGGTGTCTTTGATAACTCATCCAACCGAAGCGGTTTGGTGTGTGCTCCCAGACCCCTGCATGTTCAAACTGCCCCCATTCTCCCCACCCAGAGCCATAAGGGAATGGAGGCTGGGGCTGAGTGCCAGGACTCAGGAGGTGTCAGGGGCAGAGGCCAGAGAAGAGCAGATAGGGAGAGAGAGGGAGGAAGGGAGAGACTTAAGACAGAGAAGGATGGAAGACTGAGAAAGAAGTTCATACAATCTACAGGAGCTGATTAAAATCCTGGAAGAGAATGTGATGGAAAGATTTTCTGTCTTTCTATTGAGACATTTAACCTAAAAGAAATGAGTTAAATAATTTATACAGAGAACGAGTGAAATTTGCTTTGATCAAATTAAAAAATATGACTCTGGAAATAAAGTGTCCGCCGCATCCTTTCCAGGCGGCAGAAAGAGCTGCCGAGAAACAAAATGACAAAGACATAAAAATAACTAACCCTAACCCGGCGAATATTAGCACCATATTTTTTGGGAGATTACATGGCATCACTGTAGGCCAAGCAGAGAAATCCTCTCTAAGCACCAACAGGAGAGATTTTGCTCATTGAGGAAGCCCCATAAAAGCCAAAAAATTGATAAAATTTTCCTTTACAAAAGTGATCTGACTTCACTCAGAGGTTGGCCCAGAAGCCACAAGGGATCAAGTTAAATTTCCCATTTGCGCATTTCAAAAAAAGAAGAAAGCCGTTCAGTCCCCCTCCCCAATTCTCTGTTTCTTGAAAACTGTTCCTCTACCATTTGCTCCCCCCACCACACACGCACATCTGCCCGTTTTAAAAAAAATCCGGCAACACCTCATTCCATAAAAGTAAGTGTTCCATTTCATCTGCTCTTAGGAAACATCACAGAGAAGCTCCAAAACTCCGGAGCTATAAGCATAAATGCCAGCGACTTAACCTCTTGGAGCCTCAGTTTGCTACTCTTTAAAATGGGGCTAGCATCCACTGCACAGAGTCATGGTGAAGATTAAAGGAGATAAATAGAACCTGGCAGGTGGAATATTTGGTAAGTGTTAGGAACCATATCTTCCTCCTCAACTTGAAGAAACATCCAGCAAGTATAAACTGAAATGCTGGAGAGGAGGTACATAAAAAATAAAAATTAAAAAAAAGGTGGGGGAGGTGATTAAAAAAATTTTTTTTAATAAAAAATTTTTAAAAGACAAAGAAAGATAAACTGAAATGCCAGAGATCCCTACCTCATCTCCATCACCACCTGGAAAGCCCATGGTGGGACACCTTTTGTCCAATCCTGGAGAGAACATTTTCAGCTTCGTGGACAGCAGTCCCTCTGATTCAGGGGACCCACTTGACTAAAACAACCACTTTTGTTTCCAAATACCAAGGGAGAACATCCACAGATGAAAAGCAAGGGCTTCAGAGTCAGTACCAGGTTCAAATTCTGACTTCACCACTTACTTAGCTGTGTGACCATAGCCAAATTAACTTAATTGCTCCAAGCATGTTACTTCATCTGCAAAATGGAATAATAATGGAACAACTCTTATGGGATTGAACAAGGTAAGGAATGTAAAAAGGGTGCCTAAAAGTTCCATAAATAACAACAGATATTATTTTTTTGCAATGACCTTGGGAGAGACATTCAAGGTCAGTGTGATTTTTCTTCTCAAACCTTCAGTAATGGTTTCTGATCCCCAGATGGGAGGAGGGCCTAGCTGGCCTCTGTTCTGGCTGCACCACAGGAAGGACTGTGGTCAGCACAGGAGTCACCTTTACTGGTTCTCTAACACACCTCAGTGGGTACTGAGCAGGAGAACTAGGATGAAAGGAGGGCTCAGCCCAC